TAATAATAATAATAATAATAAATTTTAGTACTTATGTAACACCATGTTTATTTTTCATGAGGTGCCCTCAAAGGTGCACCTTTGTAATTTATCTACCCTTAAAGCATGCATACTAATGGTACTAATGAGGTTACTGCCCCAGTAAAGGGCTAAAATACAATTATAGTATATTTTATTTCTGACAGTGTAAACAAAAAAGGCCTATGATATGTTTAAAAAAACATGGCTTTAAAATCTAATATTAAGTGAGTATAATTACTGAATATAATCTTTTAATAATTTAAAAAATCAGTTTAGTTTAGAGGTATCGATATCGACGATACTGGGCTTGAACATATCGGTATAGGATCGAAAATAAAATAAGAGGTATCGCCCATCCTGTAAGCCGAAGCCTTTTTTTTTTTTTTTGAATATTTATTAAGCTGCCCAACGCTCGGTCAATATGTCTCGCTGATTGGCTGACAACCAGACGTGTGTAAGTGGGCAGTTGTTTTTATTTATTTATTTAGTCATTTAGCAGACGCTTTTATCCAAAGCGACTTACAAAGACAATAAAAGCTTTTAATATTAATAATACGAATAAGCATAAGAATAGCTATTTTTAAATAATCAAGTAATTGTTTTATAATATAATTGAGAGGCATTTTTATTTTTGTTGTGACATTCTAGTTTCTTAGCAATGCTTGATAAAGCACTTTGTCCCATCATGCTTTTGCTCAGGTAGATGCCTGACTCTGTGTGTGTGTGTGTGAGAGTGTGAGTGTGAGTGCGCGCGAGTGTGCGAGTGTGTGTGTTTGTGTGTGTCCGTGAGTGTGTGAGTGTGTGTGTGTGAGAGTAAGTGTGAGAGTGCGCGTGCGAGCGAGTGTGAGTGAGAGTGCGCGTGAGCGTGCGAGTGCGTGAGCGTGTGCGTGAGCGAGAGAGCGTGTGAGAGTGAGTATGAGTGCGAGTGTGTGTGTCAGTGTGTGAGTGTGTGAGTGTGTGTGTGTGTGAGTGAGTGAGTGAGTGAGTGTGTGAGAGTGAGAGTGCGTGAGCGTGAGAGTGTGCGCGAGCGAGAGAGCGTGTGAGTGTGCATGTGCGTGAGTGTGAGAGTGAGTATGAGTGCGAGTGTGTGTGTCAGTGTGTGTCAGTGTGTGTGAGTGAGTGAGTGAGTGAGAGTGCGTGAGTGAGTGAGTGAGTGAGTGTGCGTGAGTGAGTGTGGGAGTGAGTGAGTGAGTGTGAGTGTGTGTGAGTGAGAGTGTGTATGTGTGTGTGTGAGAGAGTGAGTGAGTGTGTGTGTGT